CATCTACAGAATTTGATGCAGGTCAGGATGTTCATGGCTATTTCTGTCTGAACACTTTTGTTTCCCAAAAATTCAGTGAAGCTCATCAGCTGACTCTTTTGCACAGATTCTTAAGACGTTGGCAGTGTGTTGTCACTTTGTATATGATCCTCTGTAAATGTGACCAAGTTTGATGAATATGCAGAGGGAGAGGATTGCGTTGGAGACTTGCATGCTTGACCTGACCCTATTTATCATAGCTTTCTGCAGCAGGTTATTATTGTCTATTTCAGCACTCATTTTTTCCAGTCGGTTCATCAGTATGCCCCAAAGAACTGGATTAGCCCCTGCCTTTGAAGAGCCTGAGTGAGCTGTTATCATCTGGACTGGACTGTGTGTTATGGTGGGCCGGGCAGGGCCAAGTCAGGCTGCCTGTAGCTCGAACAAAGAGGCCCTGTAGTGTTAGATCATGGCTTTCGCATGTGAGTGTGTGTCTGGTTGTGTGTGTGCGCACGTGCCTGCGTGCACTGGCAAGTACACATGTGTGTGGTTTGTTTCTCAGCCCTGGGCCTTGCTGGCAAGAGCTCAAGTCTGACTAATATGGATATATAAAATACACTAGGCTGCCGTCACTTTGTGCAACATCAAACACACCATTGTTTCACACAACTCTGCGACTTTAGAGATAAAACTAGGTTTTACTTCAGAAAATGAGACACACTTTATGTGATCTTTGGTTGTGTGTGTGATCTGAAATGGTTCTGTAACAAAATACTTGGAATAACCAATAAGAGTTTTTTTATGGACAAAATATTTCTGTGTGGATTGCTCTTTTATAAAAGTTCCTCTTCCATATCACATAAAATTAGCTATTGAAATTCACCCATTTTAACACTTATTGTTCTGATGTCTTCTAATAATTCCTGACAATTGGCATGATTATGTCACATATTTTTGCTGTGGCCAAGGCTCTATCAAATGCTCTGCTGTCTTCTCTCTCCACTGCTTATATCTCACTCTCAATCAGTCAGCATGTTAATTATCACTTCACATCGCATGGATTAATTGCTATAATAATCTCATCTGAGAGACAAAGCTGTAGTCTTGATGGAGTAAATACCCATGATAACCTTCTATCTGATATAAACGTTGGTTGCTGTGTTTTTTTCTGTGATATTTCTGTGATATTCTCTTTTCTGACAGAGCCTCTGCACATGTGTATTAACACCTGCTTTGAAATTTAGATCAAGCTTATTTTAATTAATATCCTGCTTAACACCTCAGAACTATCTCACAAGCTGTCTTGGTTGTACTGAATATCTGGGATTTACTGTATATGTGGGATTTTACCTCTCACAAGTTTAACATAACACATTTGCCTGCTTTTGCACCATTGAAAACCATTGTAGTTGTTAAAACCAATCGAGAAAAATGTGAACATGCTGCAAATTTGCAGTATATTAGATAGAGGATGACTCTTTCTCTCATTAGTCTACTGAAATGTTAAATAGAAATTCAGTTCAGGTCAGACTATTAATCCAAAGTCTCCTGTTGACCCTATGACTCATACACTAGACCACTTGCCTCTTACTGGAACAAGCAGGTCTACTTCCTCATGGCTCATACGCCTGTCATGCACTGTAAGCCCTCCCGGTAAGGTTTATGGTCATTATTAGGCTTGACGTAGAACAAATATGTTTTACATGAGTTTTTGAGTCATTTTTCTTCTCTTGTAGCTTTTACATAGGTATTTAATGGTTCAGTAGTCATGATTCATTTGTTTATGAGTAGATAAACAGACTCAGGGCCAAATTATTATTAAAAAAGCATGATATCGTAATATAAGTTCCAATATAAATGGTTCTGCTCTGCTAAATTAAGAAAATACGTATTTTTTATTATCGCTCCATAAAATACATCTGTCACATTTTGTACACAGACTTTGTTTCTGATTAATATATTTGTCTACGACGTATTTTCACTTTTCCCCGTCCAGAGGAAAGATCTCTGCCTCAGATCCTGTGAGTCAGGGGCGGGGCAGCTCTCAGAGACACTACAGCGAAATGCAGCCCACACACTCACACACAAAACCTTCCTTTAGTGAAAATAGTGTTGCTAAATGTGAAACAGTGCAGTGACACTTTACTAGATGCTGACAATAGGTCTATTGATTGTGAGGTCTGTCACAAACACTCGAAGAAATGGTTTTGACTGCCTGCAGCCTGGAGCCCACACACAGACTGAGCTCATTCTTAAGAGCATGGGTTGATGATTAAACACAACCATTAGTTAAATGATTGTTATGAGAGTATATGAACTGTTCAACAATTGACAGTGTCAGTTTCAGACCACTCAGAATAGGGGCGAGCTGTCTGCATTGAATTCATCATTTGTATTTCTCTAAGATTACATAAGTGTTCATAGTCCAGAAGGTTTTTACCAGAAGCAATAGGCCTCCTCTTCTCCAAAATAAATGGACCCGTTGATTAAATTTGGTAAAAATACTGAATAAAGCAGTTTCACATTAAAAAATCATTGGTTCTCTGATGCTCTTGGGCAAACACAGGATGTCAGGAGGAGCTGGGAGAGGGCCTGTTTTGTTTTTTTTTAAGATCCAGATGTCTGATGACTAAAATCCTTGAAGGTTATAGTTGGTTGTAATAAGTGATGGTTATGTGAATTGGAATATTAAGAAATTAATCAGCTGGAAATGTTTTAATGTCTGACCATTCGGTTTTCTTATGGAAAACTCTGGTATAGCAGCCTACAGCCTCGCTCCCGCTACCTCCCTCCCTCTCTCTCCCCGCCTCTCAGTGCAACCCACAGTTCAAGGACAAGGCCACCTGCCTGCCTGACCGCCTGGTCACATGACCCTAGTGCACTGTTGTTTCTCATGGCGTAGCCCTTCTCTGTCTGCCTGGACGGCGGGATGAATGAATGGATGAATGGATGGATGAATATATCACAAAACACTTTGGAGGAATAGATGTGTTTGGGAATGTTGGGGGGGGGAGCCATGGTTAAATGGGTCAGGTCCCTTCACACAATAGTGGCATTACTGTGGGAGTTGTATGGGCAGATAGGGAAAGGAGGGAGAGAGAGGGGGACACCCAAGCCTTCTCCGCCAATTATGGACATAAATAACATCCACACAGAGCTACCATGGAAATTAGGGTCATAGGGTTAACTGTGTATTCTGGAGGTGAAGGCCAAGTTATTCATTGTCATACAGTGCAGAAGAGTGAAAGGGAAGGACTGAAACACAAACACAGATTAGGAGACCTACAGTCAATGCAGGTGAGGTGAGTGTTTACTGCGTCACCTGTAAACACTAACATACCTCTCCCCTCACAGTGCACTTACATGAACATATTTGGTTTTATATCATGAAATTGCGGTTTTCGTTTCTTGAAAAGTTCAGCAAGTGATTCTCAGATTATTAGAGAAGTTGTTAATGTTGATCAACCAATTGAATAGTAAACTCAGTGTTTCATCTCGAACTTGTGACCTGGCCCTTTGCTTTGTGTCTTCCCCAAGTCTTTGAAACAACTGTACTGTCTTAAACACCTTGATGCTATAAACCAGAGATGTCCATCTCACTCTGGTCAGAGAGACAGGCCGCTGCTATAAATACAAACAAACAAACTTATGGCACATGTGGTCTCTTTTCATCTTATTTAGATGCAGTATCCATCCTCCTTTTTTGCGTTGTTCGTCGTGTCTTTTTCTCAACATGTCAACACACAGACACTCATCAGCTGGCTGTTGGTCTGTCTCCTCATCATACACACTTGGCAGCTCTGCAGCATGAAGTGTCTGTAAACTGTATATTTAGGATAAGTGAAGGTGCTGACAGTAAAGACCATGATGATGTTAAAGATGATGGGTGAGAGGGTGTGGGGATTAGGTGATGATAAAGGGGTGAGGGAGTGAGCTGATCGCGATGATAGGGTGGACAGATGACATGCTATGTTATTTTAAAAGGCTGATTATAGAAGGTGTACTAAATGAGCACCCTGCCATGTGTGTCAGTGTTTATGTCTTTTCTTCTTCCTGCCACATTAGACTGAGCTCAGCACTCTGCTGCAGACAGCTGTACCATCAGTGCCTGCAGGCAGACACACAGGACAGCAGCAGTGGTGCTTCATCAGTCGGAGGGAAGCTGCAATTTAAAGCTGGAGATGAAGCAGTCCGGGGGTTAAAAAACAGCTTTGAGACACAAACCGTCATCTGTTTGAACTAATCATAGTATCTTTATCACATTCATACATTTACACACGAAGAGTCTTCTGGCATTTACTGTGCAATAGCGATTAAAACGTTTAACAATTCTGGATAAATCATGCATTAAGAGAAACCTGTATGATGTAACTGCATTAGAGAATGTATGCAAACTATGCCTGTCTAGCAATAGTTTTATCCAGTGTGGCAGGTCAGAGGAGCAACTTAATACTGTGGTGACCCAGCCAGAAATAATATAGGAACATTCACTCAATCTTTGTCAGCCACTGCCAGCTGTTTACTCGTGCTGCTGTCATTCATAATCTTTTCGCATGTAGACATTTCCAACTCCAGGACTTAGTCATGCAAATAAGCAGCCATGTCTGTGTTACTGGTAGCCAAAGACCAACTCTACCCACTGAAACTGAACAGGCAGTGGGTGTCCATGTATTTTTTAGAGCAGGGGTGCACCGATCTGAGTCTGATATCTGTCAGACTCAAATTGTTGCCTTGGGGTTGGTCTAGTCATCTAGTCGTTGTGCTTATGTATATTAGATCATGCATGAGCAGTGTGCCGGTAGACCCATACATTTAGCTTGAAGCAGAGCTTGAGGGAGCTTAGAGCAAAAGGTCAGCACCGAAGTTAGAAGGTTTTATGCTTTTTACTGAGTTATCACTCTTGATTTTTAAAGCTTACAAAGATTTGAATTTGTTGCAGAATTATTACAGTTGATTTAAATGTGCACATGTATCTAATAAACTGATCTTTGATTACTGATCCTTTCCCTCTTGTGTTGTAGAGTGCAGCGATGGAGGAAACAGTCATATGGGAACAGCACACAGTGACCCTTCACAGGGTAAGTTTTTACATCACTTTAATACACTCTCCCCTGTCTCTCCGGCAATCCTGTTGTATGTCTTGTGTTTTCTTCACTTTTTCCTCATTGTTCCCAGTCTGTCCTCTGCTCATCTATCTGTCTTCTGTCCCGGCACCGAGTAGGCCAGCAGCTGTAGCGGCAGGATGTGTGGTCATGAAACAATAGTCCGTAAACGCAGATGGCAGGAAACAATGCAAAGGAAGACAGAAATCAGCATTCACTTCCTTACTACTTCATTTCACTTCCTTCCTGTTGGCAACATATTCTTCTCCTTAACACAACTCCAGGGAAAGAGGGAGTGGAGACTTTTAGGCTGTTTTGTCCTTTGTATTGTCACATGTAATTATGATAAATTGTACCTCCTTAATTCACAAGCAAATTTAATGTTGATGGTTATCTCTGACTATCCCCTTTGTCACATTATCAACATCATGAGGTTAACCATCAAAGTATTATAAGTCCTAATTCCCCCACAGAGAGCAGATAAATGAATATACTCATTGTCTTAGTGCATGCTAGATTTCTGAATGTACTTTGCTATGAGTCTGTAAACTCTACCTATTTGATGCTGTTGTGTCGTGTAGAGCACCTGTCTAGACTGGCTTGCTTGCAATAATCTAATTAGTAGCGGCTTTATTGAGGCTGAAGGAGCGGCCCAGTGTGGCCTGCGGTTCTCAGACTTACAGCTCTCCTGTGTTGTTGTGGTTGTAAGATTAGCCATTTCGATCACATGGCCTGCTCCCTTGGTGCTGGCTTTTGCGCGGGCAAAAACACAGCAGTCCTCTAACCCTCCATTGAAACCTTGTGAAAAATCAGCTAAATAACATGCAAATGTATGGTTTTGTTCCTTTCTGTGGCAAATACACCAGTTGTGTAAATCTCTCATTCACTGGACACAACATATTACTTTCCTTTTCAATGATAATTACCCTGCAGAGAGTCTGAAATTTTGTTTACAGCAAACCCACATGTCTCAAATATATCTGCAATATCTGCCATGTATTTCTTTGTGCAGGCCGCAGGATTTGGGTTTGGCATTGCCATCTCAGGTGGCCGAGACAATCCTCATTTCCAGAGTGGAGAAACATCCATTGTGATATCTGATGTGTTAAAAGGAGGTCCTGCAGAGGGACTTCTACAGTAAGTCTTTGACTATATTGCCATGGTTTTATTTGATAATAATGTTATATCCCTGTTCCATTTTATTCTTTACAGACAGTAACTCTACTTAAAACCTAGAAATGTTAATGCATTGCTTTTTTCTTTCAGAGAAAACGACCGTGTGGTGATGGTCAATGCTGTCTCTATGGACAATGTAGAGCATGCCTACGCTGTGCAGCAACTCCGCAAGAGTGGCAAAAATGCAAAGATAGTAAGTTCAACATATACCTAATTTAGGGGGAAATATTTTAGAGACCCCTGATGTTAAATAGCTTGATTTTGGAATCGCATTGATTCACCTTCAATTTCTTTTTCACAGAATGTTTTTGCAAAATCAACAATATTGATAGTCTGAGTCAAAAATGAATGTTCATTGATTCAATACTTTGTCTCTTTTTCAAGACTATCCGTAGGAAAAGGAAAGTACAAATCCCTGTTTCGCGGCCAGGAGACAGGGAGACAATGTCAGAGCATGAGGAAGAGGACAGCGATGACGAGGATGATTATGAGCACCACAGTGGTCGTGGTGGCCAAAGTGCTTATGGAGGAGCAAGTGGAGGCACAGGCAGGCGTCAAGATCGTGAGCGCAGCAGCAGCGGCAGACGGGATCAAAGTCCCTCGCGGGAGAGAAGTGTCTCACCGCGCTCTGACCGCCGATCACAAGTCTCGTCTGCTCCACCCAGGCCAGCCAAGGTCACCCTTGTCAAGTCCCGCAAAAACGAAGGTGGGCAACACAAACCTGACAGCCAATTTGCATAAAACCCAAAATGAATACTATTACTATAAAACACAGGAAAAGATTATTTAAAAGATGCATGTACATAAATGGTGGATACTTAAGTTGCTCAACTTTAATGGAACTTGAAGAAAAGGGCAAACAATGTCATCAGAAATCTAGATAATCTTATTTGCAAGGAATTAAGTGAGGGTTAGATTGATAGGCTCTAATATTATATTTAATGATTATTACCTCTGAAAGCAGAATATGGACTCCGATTGGCCAGTCACATCTTTGTGAAGGACATCTCTCCCGAAAGCCTTGCTGCCAGAGATGGAAACATCCAGGAGGGAGATGTTGTACTCAAGGTGAGAGAAAAACATAACCGAGTTTTTGAGTAGGACAGGGGTGTTAAAAGTGGGTAAAATACAAGTAATGGGGATGTAAACTGATAAATGTTATAGAAGGACTTAGTGGGATGGAAGAAGAAGAAGTATCAGGTATTATTTTTACTGACAGTGTTCACTAGTCATCAGGGTTAATCTGTAAACGGGTGAAAGTGGCTCACAGAGTGAGGTCATACATCATTAGTATGCAGGCTCACCAGCAGGAATACCACACATTCCATTATTCGTCTGAATTTTTCAGACTTTCAGTCTCTGGGGGGGAAAAAAAAATCCTCTTTCATGTTAAAGAGATGCATTCAAAATCTCATTAAGTGTATCAATCGTTCGGAAAAGAGGCTGAGACGTGTTCAAGTGTTCAAGTAACAATTGAAATGAATACTTAATCTATACTCTATATATTTTCTTTTATAAACTGTATATGATGTAATACCACCTGTGTCTCTGATAGTCTAATTACATGAGATAATTTTATTTGTTTGTAGCCTCCTCTTCTACTCTTAATGTATGAAGTAATTATTGTTAATCTGAGGTAGAACTAGGCTTTTCACAATTGCTCTTTTCCTTGTGCTCATCCTATAGTTTGCACATTTTGGGCTTTACAGCAAAAATCTGCAGAGATGATAACTTGTCTATTCAGGTCTTGTGCTGACCAGCCTCTCTTCCTCTGACAGATCAATGGCACAGTTACAGAGAACCTGTCACTGATAGATGCCAAGAAGCTGATTGAAAGGTCAAAGGGCAAGTTGAAGATGGTGGTGCAGAGAGATGAGCGTGCCACGCTGCTCAACATCCCTGATCTTGATGACAGTATCCCATCAGCTAATAATTCAGACAGAGATGGTGAGACAACAAACATGTAGCAGTGCTTTATTGTCGCTGCAGCTAAGATCTAATCGCTCAAGTTAGTTTTTTTACGAATAACAGATCTATTTTTAAACACCAAGAAGAGATCATCTAAATCACAGCTGAAATAAAATGACATTTTTTGATTGATTAAATGATAACACACATTTACTGTACATTTCACAGATATTTCAGAAATACATTCACTGACATCAGATCATTCCAATCGATCCCACGGGCGAGGTAGTCGATCACGTTCGCCTGACAGGTCTGAAACAACGGACCATCTCCGCCACTCACCTCGGCCGATCAGCAATGACAGGTAAGCGATGTGCACACGCACGCACACACATGAATGCGTGCAATGTGAATCTGCAAATCTGCTGGCCGGACACCTGTCACGCATGCCACAGTCATACATCCATACTCCAAGACTGCAGCATCATATATCATGTTCACAACCACAGGTTAGTTGATGCTGTGTAAGCACCTTGCACCACTAATGCATAAATCAATAGATAAAGACATAGCATGCATAAAGCATCACACTCCCTCTGGAGCCATCGCTGAGTTCCAATAATGCTTTGCTCAGGAAGAGGGCCAAGGGCGAGAGGAAGGATTGATCCATTTTGTGGTGGAATAAGGGCGTGTTCTGAAAAATATTCTAGAATCGAGCAAAGCTGGGTTTGTTTATTGCAAATTTTATGGTTGTTACAATTTCTCTATTAAATGTTCTTTTCTTATCTTTCGATTAATCTAAATGTCCATGCTCTCTCTTTGTTCTTCTGTTTTCTAACTGCCAGTTGGAGATTTCAGTAAGTCATCTTTGTTGTAGTTTAGAGGTTGCATAGATTCCTGTAGCTGACAAACACATAGATGGCAAAATAGAGTTAGAGGAAGTCATTAACGTGATTATAGTGTCTCTTAGTGTGTGTGTGCGCGGCATGAGCGATGTAAGCCAGACCGAGATAGTAATCTTAGTCAAATGGGACAAGATGAGTGCCTGTATCTTGCAGACTTGAATCAAAGAGAACGTGCCTCTTTTGGGAACAGACCTACGCTAATTCTGTCATTGGGTGCAGTGAGAAAAGACAGAGGGTATGTTGCTTGTTTCTCTAAATACTTCACAGTTAATACTATATCAAATACTGCTTGATACTGTGAAGTAGAGGTGGTTATTGACTCGTGGGCTTGAATCTCATGCTGCCTTCAAGCATTCTCCTGGATTTTACTTCATGTTCTGGATTTAACTGTCTCAGTCTTTGATAACCACTCCTCCATTTCATATGGGCTTTGACTCGTACACACATTGGCTATCATACTCCAGACAAAAGAACTGCTACAGCGAATATGTGGCCAAATAGAAAAATAGGCAGAGGTGCTTATAATAAGTCATATATTTCAAACTTATCTCTAATCAAATTTCACCACACTTCTATATTATTGGTGAGATAAAGGTCTGGCTATGTGAGATATGGGAGTCAAATGTCTCATTTGAACAGGATACACAAAACTCAAGTTTAGCTGTGAAACCAGTAACCTCATTGAGACGTTTCCTACTGTAGTTTGCACACCCCACACACCCTGTTGCTCAGAATGCTGTCGCTAATTTAGCTGTCTTACTAGACCTATCAGTCATGTAGTGTGAATAGATAGACTGCCATTTGACTAGATGAATAGACTACAGAGTAACCATACTTGTCTCAATGCAGGACGAGAGCAGGTTCGCTCTTGCACAGATTACTTCCAATGTAAGTGAATGCATCCTTCTGACAGCAGACCAGTATTTGTTTGTTTTGATAATTTAGCTCCAATGTTTATTGCTCCTCTCCTCATTTGTCTGAAAGTAGGAAGTCTATATTTATGTTATTCTTGTTTAACATTGTACATTTTGAGCAATTAACATGAAAAGCACACAGATAGACTGAAGTGGAGTTAAACCTGTTTCGCATGGCGGTGTGGTTGAAGAAATTTAACTGAGGAAATCACAGTCTTGACGCACCAGACTGTGATTTAAGGGAATATTGTTATCTCCCAGTTTGGGAGGGGGGAAAAAGGAATTTGACATACTTCCCACAGAGCTTTTCCCCAAGCCACATGGTTCGCTTAACCTGATTGGCTGTAGGGCTTAGAGTCATTCTTCTCCCGGGCACATAACGCTACTCCATAATGCTGAATACAACAGATCATCAAATACGCCCTTTATCACCAAGTGTCTCTCAGTGAGCATGAGTATAGTTTTTGCACAGGCAAAAGCCTCTCTGTTGTCTTTCAAGGAATACTTAAAATCCACTTAATATGCATCATGGTTCAACTTAAAGATACATTTGTGTGAGTAATTTGTTTTTGTTTTAAAATATCTTTCAGCTTTTGTCAATGATATGTTTAAATATTTGATTATTAGTTAGTTAATTAGTTTTTTCCTGTTGGTACATCTAGTCAACTTTATGCTATGCATATATTGAAGTTTGTGGGTGGATATTAAGAAGACTGGGACTGATATAGATTCTGGTGTGGCAGTGCTATATCTTTGTCATTGTTTGTTGATCTTCATGCAACCACATCTCTCCTTCTCCTTCACTGACTTGTGCTCTCTCGTCCTAACCTGTAACAATGTCTTAGGGAGGGAATTGAACAAAGGCTTCTGTCAAATGGTGTTTGTCAGCATGAAGCCTTTTTTAGCACCATTCTGCTGCAAGGAACAGCAGATTTAGGCCACAGCAGTTTCTCGCACTCTTCTCTTGTCTGTCCCTTGCTCTTGCTCTGTTTCTCTCCCTCCTTTTCCCCCCTTGTGTCACACTCTTTTCTCATTCATCCATTACAAACACAGACACAAACCCACGCTGTCTCTTTCTCTCTGGCATTACAATTCTGTTATTTATCCTCTGGCAGCAGCTGTCATTTACCCTTCTTTCTCGACAACACACTCCCACACGGGTCTTGCTGATGCTGATGCTGCTGACATATAAAATTGCCCAGATCAGATTTGTGTGTTTCTGTAGTGAGAGCAGCTGGACAAATTCAAAGACCTGTAAAAATCAGCAGAATTTCTCAAAAAAAGAGTAAATGGCTTTGCATGCACTTACATACGTCTCTGCTGTACAAGGTATATTTTAATACTATTCGAGCTAAAATGAAAGAATGGGACATGATTCTAGTACAGCCTGCACCTTCACATTCTTCTACAAAAGCTTCTGAATACAGCTCAAGTACTGTGCCAGCAGGCAGTCATGTGATCACACTGGAATTCAACCATTGTTTTAAGCAGCAGTCCTTTCTACTCTGTTGGACACAGCCTACCAGACTCATGGGCGCACACGCACGCACGCACGCACACACACACACGCACACACACACACACACACACACATAGTTTTACAGTTTTACCTTGTTTATTTTATCCAGGAACTTGTGCTGAAAACTATCCTGACTCTAGAGTTTATGTTGGGAGACTCTGTCTCTTTTCTTTCTTGCTTGTGCTTTCTATGGAAAGATTACTGTATGCTCAGTAAAATGGGAGTTTATATCAATCTTTTAATCTGGGAATTAAAACAATTATGAATTCCTTCTTATCCAATGGAATTTAGGGTGTTGCCAGTTTCAAGTCCGGAATCTGTTTTGTGATAGCCATTCTACATAGACAGACAATTATTTTAAAAAAAAAATTAAAAAGAGAAGAAAAAAAACTCAATTTACATTGTCTTCACCAGAGCTGCGCGTCCTTCCTTAATTGCTTGTTGCATTGTTATCCAGCTTTTTGTCCATGTGCCCTTATCAACATAGTTCATGGTCCATTTCATTTCAGCAAAGATGTGGCACTGTGTCATTTAACGGATGCATTAATTTAAATTGTCAGCTATAAACTGTCATTGTTCACAACATTGCAGGTCCACTCTCACTGAATTGTGTGCATTGTTATGGTTTATTTCAGCCATCGAAGCCGAGATGAAGAACGTGTATCCAAACCAGGGGCCATGTCCACACCGGTGAAAAGCTCTGACGATGGAGCCTTATCACAGGCCAGCGACCAGGCCAGTTCCAGAGATGAGAAATTGTTACCTCCGCTGCCTGGTATGGACCCTCCGCTCACTATCAATAGGATGATTGTGCAACTTTTACCACATTTAATATTTCCCCATCTTATTACCACTAGTATAGACAAAGTGAGAAATCAGATAAACCTTTTATCCTAAACTCCATTACTGTTTTATAATTTTTTTAAAAACGTATGTCACAAAAAAATATCCTTAAACCTAATGCAGTTCAGCACAGTATGTACAGGTATCTTAGAAGTAAGTATGTTATTCTGATTTCTGTTTGTATTTCCGACAGAACCAAAGCCAGTTTATGCACAGCCTGGTCAGCCTGATGTGGACCTGCCCGTCAGCCCCTCTGATGCCCCTGTACCCAGCGCCGCTCATGATGACAGTATTCTTAGGTAAATATCATAGAGGCAAAGCACCTCACAGTTTTGACTGCACATAATAATCATGTAAGTGAACTCTATTATTCAGTAGCCTGGCATCAAATGCGAATTGGTCAGAAACCTCTGGGTTGATCCCCAAGGGACGTGATCACCAAACAAGATGCTTCTGGATGCAATAGGATAGACCTACAACCATCTGTAGAACAGCACTAAGTGCACTTGTTAATTATTTTTATTGAGAATGAATCCTGTCTAGTCATTTAATAATGTCTAAATATAAGATTGAAAAAGCCTCCCATCGGCAGCAGCTATCTCAGTTGTTAATGAAAATGCTTCAGCTTCTCTTCCCATCATTATATCAAACCCAGCTCAGTTTAGATAAATGGTTTTGATATATCTGACCTGTCATAGGACGCATGGATATACTGAGGCCTGGAGGGGAACCAGACTAATTTGTGAGAGCTCACTTATTGGTCTGGTTTGCAGGTTTAAAAATGAACCTGCCTGCCAAATACATAGTTCTATAGATTGAGTCAAAGAAAAGGTCAAGAGATTCTTGTTAGCTTTTTTTATGGCTTTGTCTACTCGCTTGAATAATTTTCTGTCTCTTTTTAAATCAGTGGTCTGCTGATTTTTTGCTCATTATGTCCATCGACTTGTGTTGTCCTGCAGGCCAAGTATGAAGCTGGTTAAGTTCAAGAAAGGAGAGAGTGTCGGGCTGCGGTTAGCAGGAGGGAACGATGTGGGAATTTTTGTGGCAGGAGTTTTGGAAGACAGTCCTGCAGCCAAGGAGGGACTGGAGGAGGGCGACCAGATTCTCAGGGTATGTTTCACTCCATCTATTTCATAACATGACTGTTATTTACTCTCTGGAGTTACTAACGGTAAGGTAATTCATCTATTTTCCTGGAGAAAGAGAGAAAATATTGCAATTTGATGTTGGTTCAAGTTGGTTTTCACAGCTGAATCTGACTATTTATAAACTTCTCTAACGACTGTTCTCTTCTAAAACTGAGGGCCTTCTTTTACTGCCCAATGAAAGTGCTCTAAGAAAAGCAACTCCTTGGGCGACATTATCATACATCTCTTCTACCAGCCTTTCCTCAAAAAATGGATGAGGGTAGAAAAGAAATTTGCTGCATGAAAACCCAGACTCTACACTAACCAGTGTGTACATTTGTTCTTTAAGTCACATGCAGATATATTGATTGACTGTTGCTCAATTCAGTCTGTTTATTCCAGTGCTTTGTAATTGTGCTGCGAGTGCTGTCCATGAAAAGTGATTCTTAAGTATTGTTTTCTTCTTTGGCACAGTGCTATTTTTTTAATGTCACATGAGTGAAAGTGGGAAGAACATCTGGTGTTTTTGTCAAAATAGACAAGCCAAAACTGCCCACACCAACTTAGATAATCAGTGTTGAAACTGTGTGATCCCATGGACATAATAATTTTAGTTCTGTGTAAAGACATCTTGGGGGATACAGTACAATGTATCTGTCAGTCTGTGAGTCATTCCCAGGCCGTGCCTCGTGTCAAAACTCCCCTTGTTTTCAATGTGGAAACACAATAGAAGTCATTCTATCATTCAGAACTTAGAACAGTTGACTGTCTGTTTCATTGAATACTAGCATAACATTGTTGCTGGGATGATGGAAACCCTCTTGATGTCATTGTTGGAATCATTCTGACATGTTTATACAAGTGCCAAGGATTACACCTGCTGTAACTGTTGAGATCTGTCGCTCAGTGGCTGGATGTACCACCCATTTTCCCCATGACATTACCAAATTACAGTAGCTCTTAGTAGAGGGTAGACCTCCAACAAGGTCCAGCAGTCCCCTTATGAGACCATGTTTAAACTCACTAGATCCAGGTTTTTATTTGTATGTACACCAAATAGCGCTGTTATAAATTTCAGTCCTCAAACATGCCTGTTTTTCCAAAATTGAATCGGTTCTTTCTTAGGTCATGACCTACCCCTCCACAAAATTTCATGGAAATCGTAGAAGTTTTTTTGTAATCCTGCAAACAAACAAACAGAAAACATAACCTCCTACATGGAGGTCATTACATTTATCTGATATATAAAGTTATGCATTACCTTATTTCTTTATGTATACAAATGTTTAACACCCCCCCACAAGTCGATCTTTTTGTGCCTGTGTTCTTCCCTCTGTACAAACACATCTCAGAGACTTCCAGGACATTGTTTTCCATCTTTAAGCTGCTTCCCTTTGGTCATGGTGTGCTTGTGGAGATAAAGTCGTCAAGCCCTCCTGTTTCTGGGAAGGATAAAGGTGTCTTTCAGAGGTTCAGTGACTCAGCCCATGTGTTTCTCCTTCCCCTGCTGCCCCTCACGCAGAGTCAATAAACAGCAGTTATTGTGTTTGGGACAGCAGCAGGAGACGAGGTGGAGGCTACCCAGTTGTAGGGGAATAAGTCTCCCTGCTTCTGTTGAGGAACAACTTTTCCTCTGTCTCTCTTTATCAGAGAGAAATGTGTTAGCACCCTAGAGTTTGTTTTGGTTATTGTGGTTGTTGTTTTTTCTTGTATTTAGTTGTTTGATAAGAAAAAAAAAAGAAAGATAAAAACGCTGTCATCCAGTTTTAAGTATTTAAACTATAAATGTATGCAAATAAGCATTGAGTGTATTTGCTGTTTTGTCTTATAGTCTTAATTTCTTTTATCTCTTGTCTTCACATGTGCAGGTGAACAGTGTGGACTTTGCCAACATCATCCGAGAGGAGGCCGTGCTGTTTTTGCTGGATCTCCCAAAAGGAGAAGAAGTTACTATTCTTGCTCAAAAGAAAAAGGATGGTGAGTGACAAAGTTCTATGTCAGCAGATAAAACAAATCAGGATTCATGCCAGCTCATTTAAAAAGTTGCTGTCTTCATCTCTGTTTTCTTTTTCTGCCTTTTCCTCAGTGTATCGAAGGATAGTAGAATCAGATGTGGGCGACTCCTTCTACATTCGGACACATTTTGAATATGAGAAAGAGTCACCGTATGGCCTGAGCTTTAACAAGGGCGAGGTGTTCCGTGTTGTAGACACACTCTACAATGGAAAACTTGGATCCTGGCTTGCTATCCGGATTGGCAAGAACCATCAGGAAGTGGAAAGGGGCATCATCCCCAACAAGAATAGGTAAAAGTTTCAGGACACACCTTTTATACCTGTGTATCTTGTTCAGGCACTTTATGAATGGGAAGGGGTGGAGGCAAAGTAACTGAGCGCACATAGACCTTCATCATAATATGCTGATTCAGTACTAGATCTCAGAGTAGGAAGGACATATTTGTATATCTTAAAATTTGACTAAGAAGAGTTCCCAGTTCTAGGTCAGTGAGTTTATATTTCAGAAGTGTTCTTAACGTATGACTTATTGAACACATCCCATGTGTCAGGTAAATGGTCTACAAGTATTTACTATGTGATTTTTTTTTACAAGGACTTTCTGAGGCCTGCGTGCCTAAGGATATGAAGTACACTCTACATCATCCTCTAGCCAACAGCATTGTTTTATCAGACCTGTCTGAGCAGCTTTGAACAGGCTCCAGCAGTGTTTATACAGAGATTTCTCACTGTCCCGCTGACAGAGAAGACGGAGCATGTGTTTTTATCACATACATTAATCACTATGAAATACCGTATATCTCAGCCTCGTTCTCACTTGATATTCTTTCAAAATATGAAACAATGAAATCGCACTGAGACTTCTGTAATATTTGAAAATATTTAAAATGATAACATTTAAAAAAAATACACAGTACATCAAAGAAAGACATTATTATTCGAAGCCTGTGGGAATGAGGGATTTGCCTCTGTTGCCCCAAGGCCTCTTTCTCCTTTCTCCTTATCCCTGTGTTTTGTTTTCTATGTAAAAATATATTGACCTACACATAATGATACTGAGGACATAACTTTTAGTAAATAGATACCACAAAAGATGGCTTTAATAAAAAATAATGGTTTGCAAATTGTTAATTTTGGAAAGTTTTTATACATTGGACTTATTTCACTGCAAATCTTGAAGCTTAAGCTGCTTTCAGACATGCACTGAACTCCCCTTTTTCATCCAAAGGAGTAGTATGTGTGAACACAGTTTCTGTAGACTTTCTTGACCTGGCCCCCAAGTACAAAGTCTGCAGAGTCCGATGTGAGTGCACAGCAGGGGATCCCCCGCTGGATTCACCGTGAGCAATGGGGGGTTTATGACGTTTCCCACACACTTAAGGCCACAGAAAGTTTGTGTTGTTAAGAGCTGATGCCGCTGGCCGAAAACGGCTTTAGGCCGGCTTTATTTTGTTGTATGACTGGAATGTGTTCATTACAATGAACTTGTGTCATTATCTTGAGAAAATAACTGATGTTTAAAGTAATTAGTTTGTGGACTATGTTAATTTGCTAAGAGATAACAGATGGTTCACAAAAATACATTTTTATAAAATGTTTTGCCTCTTTATAGTGTGAATATTGAGCTTTGAATTATATTGTTCTAACCTTTAAGACAGCATTTCCATGAGCCTAAATCTAAAATGGATTTAAACCATGTTCAATTCTTCATGCATCAACATTTTTAATCAGTGATGGCAAATACATCATAATCACTTTGAAAACCATTTAGAGTTTAGTATGTACAATGGTGTTATAATTACATTGCCAGTATACTACCATGGTTTTTGCTCCAAACAGTAATAAGATTCAGAGTCCTAACAGTTGACCCAATCAATATTATTTTTTTTCCTGTACAGAGCTGAACAGTTATCCAGTGTGCAGTACACCCTCCCCAAAACACCAGGGGGAGACAGAGCGGACTTCTGGAGATTCCGAGGATTGCGAAGTTCCAAGAGGAATTTGCGGAAGAGCAGGGAGGACTTGTCTGCGCAGCCAGTTCAGACCAAGTTCCCTGCGTATGAGAGGGTGGTGCTGAGGGAAGGTAAGAGCACCCAGGTCAAGGCAGTCCCAACAATCAATGAGTCCCCCACAGATCATTTTAATAATTCACAGAAGACAGAGTTAAACTTTATAGCTTAAGAAATATGAATGTGAAAGTTGGTCCCTGTTTGTTAGATCAAGCAAATTACTTAGGTCTGAATAATTAAATATATTTGTCCATTTACGAAGGACAGAAAATAATGTAATAACGTTTAAAACACAGCACGGATGTTAAGATGTTGAAGAAAAGTGGATGGGTGGGTTTTATCTCACTTTGCTTTTGACTCAGTATTGAATTTCATACATTAGTTAATGTTTCTAATGTATGACTGAATATTTCAGTGATCTAACCTTTGGCAATCGTAATCCCATGTTCTTGTTCTTGCAGCTGGGTTCCTCAGGCCAGTGGTTATCTTTGGACCGATAGCAGATGTGGCCAGAGAGAAACTGGCAAGGGAGGAGCCAGACATTTTTGAACTAGCGAGTAAGTAATAAATCACCCACCTCCCTCTGTTCTGATGTTCATGTTTTGTGTGGTGTCTTACTGTGTGTCTTAGGTGATCTGAGGTAATGTTTTTAATGCATCACGTTGCATAACGCGTTAGCTGAGGGCTGTTTAACTTCTCATTAAATATTTACAGTAGTAGTCAGTGTCCAATAGATACTGAAATCACTTATGATTTAGTGACTATATTATTATTACTTTACAAACAGGTATGTTACTAATTCGATCAAGTCTGAGATGCTCTTTTGAAGCATGGTAATGAACAAGAAAGGTCAGGAGATGAAAAGATTTTGCCTCTGGGAAGTTATAAGGATATTTTTAATTTTGAGGTTTAACACAGAAAGATAGCAAAATCTATTCTACAAATTTTTTCATCTCACTTTGTGATCATTAACGGTGACTCTCCCGACTTTTTCGCTGACACAACACACATTCTCAAATGATTTTGATTGATCAGATTTGTCTAATTCATTCAGTTGCGTTTTTTTTTTTTTTTATTTCCTACTGTTTATTTATAGCTTCTATCTTCCCCTTTTGTGTTTATCTTCTACTCTTCCACACTCAGAGGAGAGGAACACACTCCTTGTCAATTCAGCCTTCATCTGCCTCTTCATCTGTGTTTTAATTTAACACTTTTTATTAAATTTCATTTGGTTTAAAATCACAAACACACATGTCACTGCAACCAAAACACACACACACACACATTCAGTACACACCCCATGAAAGTTATTCCATTCCATGATGTTTTTTGCGCAACTGCAGTGACGTTTGTATAACTGTATTTTCTTTTCAGAAACACAGAAACAACAAGGAGGGGAAAGTATGTCACTTAGTGCATCCATTTTTCTTTGTTTTATTTAATTCATTGAATGGCAGATAATCTATAAACTAGTGTCTGGCGGCTAGCTGCCTATTCTGTAGATGTTTCAACAAAAGCCATTGTTTGGTTAATGCGCAGAGGGGAAAAACACGCGATTTAAGACTTTCCATTTGCCACTACGATTGGCAGCAACACTCTTATCATTGTATTTCAACAGTGATACCCAGTGTTACACAACCTAACACAGGAACAGGAGACCTGAGACTTAGGAAATATAACATCACACTGATACAGAGTGATTGCTCCACACTGAAAGTTGGAGACTTGTTTTTGGGAAGAAAGATAACTCCTGAAATTGTAGTTAACTCTAAATAATTATTATGTCCAATATAAATATATTAACTAAAGACTGAACAGAATCGGCTCCAATTACATTTTGCACATGTGATGCCACTATGGAGGTTGTCAACATTGATTAACACGCACTTTGCTCGATGATTTGATAAAAATGTGATATTGTCTGCTACTCATCAGTCTTTGCACTGTGTAGTATCTATAACAGCATGTCAGTGTGATATATTCTCCTGTCCCTCGTTGCAGAGGTTGTGTGTAAGTATTGATAAATATAAATGGAAATAATTTGTCATTAAATTCAGTGGTATTCCCCTCCTCAATGCAGGCTGCATTATGTAGAATGACAACAGCAACGTAGCATGTTTCGCTGTGGAGTTTGATTCGCAGTGAAAGCTGAGATATGTGTAATTAATTTTTTACAAACACCATGTATAAATGGAAAAAACCTGAAAAATGAATTATAGAATTGATATTTGCCTACTAGGCTGAAAATGTTGACTTTGTTTACACATTTTTATGAATTGTTTCACCTTCTTTCTTCCACTAATTTGCCATCGAATTACACCACGATAAAAAATAGTAAATCAAAATGGCAGTTTATACCAGTTAACTTGTGGCTCCAATCAAAGGTCAACACTAATTAAGGCTTGAGGCTTTGTACTATATTTTTCTATGATGTTCAGAACTGTTGAGCTCATCCTTGTATTTTCTCAAGCATTCAAGACGCTACCGACAAGACTTACCACATTGTGTTAACATCATGTTATCATGAAGTAGTCCAGAATCTTTGGAAATTATATAAAAGCATTTAAAATATTTTTGGTGCGTTGATAAGTTAAAATATCTGTATGCATAACCCTGCATGTAGAGCAACAATGGGTTCAAGTAAGTGCAGGACCAAAAATTTATTTAAAAAAGTAACAAAATATAATGGTAATAATTCATCATTTGATGGCTCCAAGTTCAGACCACAGTTAATTTTGGCTTGTGTTACAGCTACTAACCATGATGCTGTTTACAACTTATGAGTCTGGTTTTGTACAGAGCTGTCAATGGTGTGTTTCTGTGCCTGTCCCACTTCTCATAATACAGTGATGGAAGTATAAAGTGTCTTAACAGATCATTGCCCCAATCACTCTAAGATCACATTTAAAATTCAGAGACGATACTGAATCACATGTCCTGTTTAAGATAGCTGCATATGCTTGAACCTCTGCATGCATGGCTGTATTTATTTATTATTTATGAAAATGATTTGGATTGCTCTGGCCAGGTTTATCACAAATCCTATAAGAATATTAGAAATTAAAGCCTTAAGTCGTGACTTTACTGAGCAACCTGGTGAGATGACTGCCCTCTTTTGAGCCTTCTGTTTCTAGGCAGAAAATCATTGCTTATCTTTGTTTGAATCACAAACCCCTCTACACATCCTTGCTTAACTCCCTGAGGCTTACAATGACTGAATTTTCATGAAATTACCCTCCTGAAATTACCCTCCTGCTCTTGTATGTGCATATTTCATTTCAGTGTTTCTCACATAACACATTTCCTGCACCATAATTTATACTGTTACATGCAGTTGCACGCACACTACACACACTTAATTTCATTTACTTAAACCTAGCCAAATTACCTAATGACTACTGCATGGATTGGCTGCTGTTCTCATTTTGACTTTACTATCTAGCTGTTTTTGTGAACGTACACTTGTCCTCTCCTGTACGGAGATTATTATTCTGTAATTAAAGCTCTATTCATGGGAGTCGACAACTGCACGCTACTAAGACGTATAATTGGTGCACAGCGTGTTTATTGTTGTTTGTCTCTCGTGCTGATGTGATGCAGTAACTGTCTATTTCTCCTCCATAGAGAGCGAACCCAGGGATGCAGGAACCGACCAGAAAAGCTCTGGCATCATTCGCCTGCACACCATTAAACAGATAATTGACCGAGTAAGTGAATCTAGATACACACACGTGTTATAACAATTTCACGCAGGATACAAAAGATTAAGATATAAACATGTTTTGGTAGATGTGCTACGGTAATGAAAATACGGCAGTGAGCCACAATAACATTCACAACTCACTGCAGCCCTCTGGTGTACAATGCTATTTAATACTGTCAGATGCTTGAAGTTCCACAAAGGTTTATGGTGGACTGACCTCAAGATATAGATTTAAATCTCTTCTTGTTTGTTTTCTGAATATGTAGGACAAGCACGCAGTTCTGGACATCACCCCTAATGCAGTGGACCGTCTGAACTACGCTCAGTGGTATCCTATTGTGGTGTTTCTCAATCCAGACACCAAGCAGGGCGTCAAGAACATGAGGACCCGCCTCTGCCCTGAGTCTAGGAAGAGTGCCAGGAAACTCTATGATCGAGCCCTTAAATTGAGAAAAAACAACCACCACCTCTTCACCAGTGAGTCCAGTAAAAGGGAGTGAGGAGTAGATTGGTGATTACATGTGGAGGGAGGGAGAAGGGGATGGTGAGAATGGGAGTGATTTCACGTGGACACATTTCACAGATAGTTGACATTTGAGTGCTGCAGTGTTTGAAGCTGTCACTGCAAAGCACTTGTTGTGTCTGGCCCTGTTCTGTCAAACTCCTCATAAAAAGCTTATTCAGCACTGGCCGTCACACAGAAGCACTCCCAGGCCCATTTTCTCAGCCTGCGTGCTTCCTGTCAAGGGATGTGGTGAGACTGTGCTTTAGGAGCTTCTGTTGATCACAAAGATATTAGAGATGTCGTAGAGAGTATTTCTCTGAGCTCACATTCAGTCTTTAAAGTACACACATAAACTCTTCACACAATCTTCTGTCTAAACACCAGTGAGCTGCATCCTATTGCTTTTCAGTTAATCTCAAAATCAAGCCATATAATGATTTTAAGAATATTACTGGGAATAAAAAACCCAGATAACTGATGTTGGTTAATCATGAGGTTAGAAATACTAAAGGTTTCCTGCAAATGCCTCTGAAATGGGTTGTTTTCTCTTTTATTTGGAGGGAGGCCTGCTCTATGATTTCACATTTAAAACATCCTTCCAAACCATGGGGTGGGAGGGACGAGATGATTACTTAACACACTAGATACAAAACATGACACCAATCCACTGAGTTGAATCACACCTCAGCTGCACCAAATATTTTAACTGAGTCCCAAATGAGGAAATTACCACATTGCCTTTTTACCTTAGAAAAGACTCGGAAGTCCTTTACAAACACGTCAAAGTGGCCAAGTGTATATTAGAGTGCATATCTAAAATGAAGTTTTAATTATGGTCCTATGGTTGGAGAGAATTGCTTATTGAAAAATTGTTACCGGATGTTTTTATTCTCTTTTGCTCCTCCCTCTTTGTGCATTCAGCAACCATTAACTTGAACAGCATGAACGATGGTTGGTTCGGAGCACTGAAAGAGAATATCCAGCAGCAGCAGAACCAGCTGGTGTGGGTTTCGGAGGGCAAGGTAAGACACACACACACACACAAACAGACAAATGGGTGTGAATCAAAACGAGAAAACGAGAGTGCTTAATTAACCTGAAAGGCAAGTTGGAGTCTGGGATTTTCCTTCTCTGTCTCAATTTATACTTTCTTTGCTAGGCTGATGGGGCAGCTGAGGACGACCTGGACATCCATGACGATCGTCTGTCCTACTTGTCGGCACCAGGTAGTGAGTATTCCATGTACAGCACCGACAGCCGCCACACCTCCGACTACGAGGACACAGACACAGAGGGTGGAGCTTACACCGACCAGGAGCTGGACGAAACACTGAATGACGATGTGGGTCCACCCACGGAGCCCGCCATCACCCGCTCCTCTGAGCCTGTCCGTGAGGATCCACCCGTCATCCAAGAACCCCCTGGCTACGCTGGCTACCAGCACACACTGCAACCGGACCCCCTGAACCGCATCAACCCGGCTGGGTTCAAGGCACCAGTGCCGCAGCAGGTAGCGTTTCTGAGAGGTGTACGTCTCCCCTGTTGTCTGGAGGACGTTGTGTGCGTTAGAAGGGTTTTCTGGAAGCGCTATTGAAGGCGTTTTCTTATTTTTACAGTTATTCTCTCTCTATCTACAAAACTATCAGTGGCAAAGTGAAAATTTTTGTGGTCAGGTATTTATCACAATATATAAATACTATACATATATAATATATATATCTATATTTATTACAATATTTATTCAATCTATTTTCCTCTATATGTTTGTTGATTGATGTTTGTGAGTGTGTGTTTTTTATTTTTGAAAAGGAGAACTTGATAAGTTTTACTGTTACTCTTGTACTCTGTGTTACGACAAGCTGTGTTATCGGTGTGGCTGTTGCTAATGTCACTAAGAGAAACCTTTTTGTCCAAGTGTGTGTAAAAGTACTCACCTATGTGCACTTCCTACCTTTGTTTTTCTGTGATTGAGACTGTGACAATATGACACCAGACAGTATTATCTGCATGTTGGCAATGCCCGTGTTAATCCAGTGTAACTGTGAAATGTATTTATCAATACCCGATTGGCCCGTGTGGTAACCAAATCTAATTATTTGTCATCTCATGATGTGTTAATCACCATAAAAAGGGAACAAAAAGAAATAATTGTATTGTAACCGTAGAATTAAAATCACAGTAGTATTCTATTACTATGAAAACTTGTCCTGCTGCTAATTCCTAACTCTCACCTGTCACTGGTTGATCAACAGCTACTGTTAAATGTGAAGTCTGGTTATTGGCTGTTTGTATCAGTGTAAGCTGTAGGCTCAAGTGAGGAGCAGATCGAGGTAGAGGGGCTATGAAGGTGGTAGCACTTGTTAGTACTGCACCGTAGTGTGTCAGCGCGTGTTATTAAACATTTCTGAACCACTTCACAGAAAGCAGAGGCCGCTGCCGTCCCTAGCCTCCCCCAGCAGCCTGAGCCCCTGGCTGAGACAAATCCCCCTGCTGTCGACGTTACTGTAAAAACTGTAGGGGGCCTGAGCCCTGACGAGGCTCCTGCAGCTCCCCACATGCAGCCAAGCCCCAACCCAGAGGCTGGCTCGCTTAGGAGGCCCACACCTGAGCTAGCCCGTCAGAGCGTCACGCCAGAACCTCTACAGTCTGGACTGGCCAGTTCTGAACCAAAGGTATCCATCTGACCGTCTCTGGATGCACCGTGACTCGGCCATGCTCAGCTCAGCTCGGTCTGACCTGGCAGAACTCCTGTGCCGCTGCTGCTGCTTCCTGTCTACCTACCTACCTACCTACCTCCTGCTGCCATGCTTCTTTCTCTTTCCTTCCGCCCTGCATGTGTGCTGACCACAGTGCTGCCCAGAAGAGACGTGTGTGTGCGTGCGTGCGTGAGTGTGAGAACGGTCGTGCAAAAGTTTGTATGCGAGTGCACGCTCAAGAGTGCGATGGTAAACAACAGTGGGCTCGGAGGTGATGGCTGTATGTGTTACGCCTGTAGAAGAGCAGTGGACATCCTGCAGCTCTCACTGTTGCTTATCCTCTATGCATGGCTCCGACATGTTTGCCTCATTCTCTGTTAACCACTAGACTTAGCTCTTTGCTGTTTTTATCAGATTGAATGGATAATTTATTTGTGAAAGTAGCCAGTAATTTTCCAACCAATTTATTTATGTTGTGAAAGAAGTTACTTTGTAAAGAGATATGTTCTTAATATTTGAATTGGATAATTAATGGTTACTTCTTAAATATGTGATTTAAATATGTTTTCTTTGGACTTGAGTATGTGCTTGTAATGTTAATATTATTGTGGCTGTTTAATTTGCCATCATAGTTGCATCAAGACAGTGGGGGACATTTTTCCTTGTGAATGTGGTGCAGTTCACGATGATGATGATAAAACCATCAAGTATTAGGCAAATTTTAAAGTAACCTTAAATTGTAGTTCACATTTCTATATTCCATTTCCACATTAAGTGAAGACAAAGGCACCCAGGATTCATGAAAAATGGAACTCGTTGTTTTGTTGCTGTTTTTTTAAAGAACTTTAATTGCAGTATTTAATTTGCAGTTGTACATTGTGATTTTTTTTTTTTTTAAGGCTGCATTGAGTTTTCGTGCTGCAGTTTCTGTTGAATCTGATGTATTATCTGACCAGTAAATCCTCCCTCTCAGTTTCTCTATTTCAGGTCTTTCCCTTCTCATTTTCTTCTTCTGCAATTAATTTTCACAGACTTGTTTTAATATTCTCCTCTTCTCTTCTTTTAACTGACTTTCTGTGTGTTGAGTTATTTTTAATCGTATATTTTACATCTATATGTTGGTGGAACCTGTGCACATTCTAACCTGATTCTTTGTTGTGTATTTTCCAATAGATGTTCCAAAAGGATCCATACAGCACAGACAACACTGGGAGAACTGGTCACAGTATGAAGCCTTTGGCCTACAACCCTCAGCAGGGATATCACCCTGACCAGCAGCCGTACAGAGATTACGACCACCCCCCGAGTCGGTATGATGTCAGCAGCAGTGGAGTCAGTAGCGGAGGTGGTTACAGAGAACCAAAGTATCATGACTATGACTCTAACCCACCCTTCGAGAACAGTGTGCCTCACTTCGACCAGCAACAGTGGAACCCCTACAGCCAACCGCTCTCTACTGCCAATTCTCAGGGCTACGATCCCCGTTTGCCATACAGTGACGGCCCTGACTCCCACTACACCCCTCCTCTCCGCTACGACGAGCCCCCACCTCAGCAGGGATTTGACGGACGGCCCCGTTATGGTAAACCAACCGGTCCTGCACCTGTCCGTTATGATGATCCTCCAGCACCAGGGCCTGATCTGCACTATGACCAGGATTCTCACCTGAGTACGTACCCAGCTGCTGCACGCTCCCCTGACCCTGCTGCCCAGCGACCTGCCTATAACCAGGGACCAGCACCGCAACAAAAAGGCCACAGATCTCAGCAGTATGACCCTGTTCCTGTGAACTCTGAAACCAGCCCCACACCTCCTCCAAAAGCAGAGAACCCCTCACCTTCCCCTGTGGACCTTCCAAAATCTGCACCTGTCAGAGATGAGCAGCCTGAGGACGACCCAGCCATGCGGCACCAGTCAGTCCTGACGAGGGTCAAGATGTTCGAGAACAAACGCTCTGTGTCCATGGACCGAGCCAGAGATAACGGGGATTCATCTGGAAACAGGGTAAACTGTTTTGATATTTATCATTTGTTCTGATGAAGTTACAATAGTTATTATTGTATATAACTTGTATTGTACATTTAATTTTCAGCATCTTGTTGAATAAGCACATTGGAGGAAAATAAACAATAATCTTATTCATGTTTTTATTATTCTACTCATAAGGTTTGTTGTTTTTACTCCTGTAGGCAGCAGATTTACCCTTGAAAGCAGGTGGAGTAATCCCTAAAGCAAATTCTCTTAGCAACCTGGATCAAGAGAAGACCTTTAGGTAAGCTCATGCTTAAACTTCACTAATGTTGCTGATACTACGTTTTCTCTCACTGATTGTTTAGAGTAAAGTGCGAATAAAACTGCAATTAGTCACTTTAGTTTTCAGATCATCAAACAAGAATCTCAGTCACCTTTTTTTTGTTTCGTTGTACACTCTTCTCCTGCTTTTCTTTTTAAACTACTTTTTCCCCCTCCACACCAATTCAGAGCTCCAGAGCCACAGAAACCTCAGTCCAATGTAGCTGATGACATTGTGCGCTCCAACCATTACGACCCTGATGAGGACGAGGACTACTACAGGAAACAGCTGTCCTACTTTGACCGGCTCCAAACTGGCCCCACCAAACCCCAGCCACAAGCACAAACCACCCACAACAACTACAGGTAAAGCTCAGACCCATCCACATTCCAAAAGCGTTAATGTTTTCATGAAATGTCTTCGTCTTATCAATGACCTGAAACAGCCATGGCTTGAAACCTCATGTTTTCGTCACTTGGATCAGGTGATTTGGACTTATTAGAATTTAGTGGTCAAGGTCAGGGTCACTGTGACTTCAGAAAACAGGTTTTTGTTCTTAACCCAAGAATTCAGATGATAATTATGACACAATCCAACACAAATGTCTAACAGGATAAAATCATGAAGTGATGCCATTTTACATCCACACAGTCAAAGGTTAGCTTTAACTGTGATAATATTCATAAGGTTCTGTAAAGTATTTTTGTGGCTGTTATTCAACACCATACCCCGGGAACAGAAAGTGAGATGTGACCAAGTGCCCTGCAATTTGACTTTGTTGAAACGTTAAAATCCTGTTTTGTGATACAGGACGGAGTCAGTGGAAAAACCAAGTCCAGTGGAGAAAAAATATGAGCCTGTTCCCCAGGTTACACCGTCGCTGCCACCAGCCACACTGCCCAAACCCTCAACTGAAGGTAACATTCATTTAATTTTCTAAACAAGGAAAAACACTAGTCAAGATATTGTCTTGGACATTATTAGATGTGTACAGAGACGCTGCCTGGTGTGTTTACCAAAGTTTCTACATTTTAAACAAATGAAAATACACACAAAGACTACAACTCACACTAAAAGACTCTTTGGTTGATCCATCCATAGCCAAGCCTCCTGCACGAGAGGACACTGTCCAGACCAACTTCCTGCCTCATAAGAGTTTCCCTGAGAAGTCTCCAGTTAATGGCACAAGTGACCAGCCTCCAAAAACAGTCACTAGCACCACGGCTCCCCCAGCATCCAGCTACAACCGCTTTGCGCCCAAGCCCTACACCACCTCTGCCAGACCTTTTGCACGCATGTTTGACAGTCCGAAATTCAACCACAACCTTTTGCCCAATGACAAGCCTGACACTGCTCCAAAGGTAAGAAGAGTGTTGCCATTTCCATTTGCCATCATTTTAGTGCAGTAAAGTGGCTCAGTTCAATGATGCGTGGTGGGTTACACTGTTGAATTTAATGTGGACCTAAATAAACATCAATAAAAATTACATGAAATGCATAATCTCATCTTGTCAAGTCAAAAAGCCTTAACAAGCAAGTTTATCAAATCATTTTTAAAATTAAAACTGACAATGTCAAGTGAAAATGAAAAATATCTCGATGATTATGTCAGGTTCAATGATGAATTATTGGATTACATAATCAGGCCACTTATACCATTGCTGTGATTATTCCTATATTTCATCTTCTATCATTCTTACTATATATTTATAGGTTTTTTTTAACTGTTGGCTACATGTATTTCTCTATACTTCATGACCTCAAGCACAACAGCAGCCAATCTGAACCCACCTGTGGAAAAGATTCATACATAAACCATACTAAGGCCTATTGCAGCATTTCAGATTAATTTCATGTTAATTTGATTCGAACTAGCTGTTTGAAGATGCTGTATACATGTATTTAACTGTTGACCCCTCTCTGCTTGAAACAGGACCGGAGCTCCAGCCCAGTGAAGCCTCAGGTGAATCCTCAGCCCCAGAACACAGACCATGACAGTGGTGTGGACACTTTCACACGCACGATGGACCACCGCTCTAAATACCAGCACAACAACATCAACGCTGTGCCCAAGGCCATCCCAGTGAGGTAACAATCTCACACTCACTGCAGGATCAATTGAAGATATTAGCAGAATGTGAATGGATGATGACTGAAGGTATCTGTCTACAGCCCCAGTGCTCTGGAAGATGATGAAGATGAAGATGAGGGCCACACAGTAGTTGCAACAGCTCGAGGAATCTTCAACAGTAACGGTGGCGTCCTGAGCTCCATTGAGACAGGTGTCAGCATAATAATCCCACAGGGTGCCATCCCTGACGGTGTGGAGCAGGAGATCTACTTCAAGGTCTGCAGAGACAACAGCATCCTGCCACCGCTCGACAAAGAGAAAGGTAAGAAGCCTTCAAATTTTAATTGTTGGATGTTTTAAACTGTGCTTGTTGTCTGTGGATAGATGTGCTGGATCTTAAGTAGGACTGTGCTGATTGACATTATACTACATTGACTGAGAGACTATCACCAATATCTGATGTCCCTGGCGATTATCACATTACTTACTGTAATTATCTATAATCAATATTCTTTTGAACCTACAGAGAAATATCCCCTGAATCTACTGCTCCCGTCTGTTTGTTTGAGCTTTAGAGTGGTTTTCAACTCATTGTTTAAACTGTCCAGTCTGTAAATTTACTCTTCGGTTCACTCTCAGTGCTCTCGTAGCCTTTTTTCAGCAGCAGCAGGTACCTGTGTGAAAAAGCTCCAAAAACCCATTATGCACTCACTGCTCAGCGGCAAACAGCAGACAGAAACACTTGTTAACAACCTAGTTAACAGAGTGAAGCACCTAAGGTAGCTACAGAGCCAGTTATTCCCCTTATGAGTTGATATAGAACAAAAAACGCTGAAAGAGATTGAATATACTCTGCTGTATATGGAAATGAGCCACTGATTAGTAATATGTTCACCATATCAACTGAAAAGGTTAGAACCAGACAACCATAACAAACCAGTCTTGAGTTGTGCTCCCTCTAGTGTATGTTCTTTATGTTGCTACCTTGACATATATAACTTAGTCTTAACCAGCACACACTGCTGTACAAATCTGCTGCACAGTCAGATTTTGGGATGTCGATGACAGACTGGTCTAGTTTCGTGAATTAATTATTACTGGTGCACTTAATGTGATATATAATTCACAGATTATATTTTTTATCTGACAGAAGCCTCTGTATGTGCACTGTGAGGGATGTAAGCATATTAAAAGGCTCAAATTCTGAGTGGAAAATATGAAACATCTGCTAAACATACCCAGTGAAAGAGCTGTTTATTTTGTCATTCCTGGACATTGGTCCTTAGTTATCATTCAACATGACAATTCAATAATCTTTCAGTGTAAATGATTATCCGAATCACACAAATCTATATTTCATTTGTTGTAATTCATCAGTTCTGACTTCTTTCAGGTTCATTTTATTTCCAGTAAAACCAATAAAACCACAAGCCTACGAGAACTATAGAGAAATATTGCACAATATTGAGCTGCCTGTGTGTTTCTAATTTGAATCGTGCTCTGTTTGTGTTCACAGGAGAGACTTTGCTCAGCCCTCTGGTGATGTGTGGACCTCATGGCCTTAAGTTTTTGAAGCCTGTGGAGCTGCGCTTACCTCACTGTGCGTCAATGACCCCTGATGGTTGGTCTTTTGCTCTAAAATCCTCCGACTCCTCGTCGGGTATGCTGTGCTCTCTCTGTTCTTGCGGGGTCGTTTGGGCTGGCTGTGTGACAATTTGATGGTTGTGGGTCACTGTTCAATGAGATTTTACCCCGAGTTTTGGTTTTCCTCTTGTTCAAAAATCACTTTAAACCAAATAATTGATTTATTCTCACAATGACCTGAGAATCAATCTTGGGGGAAAATCCATCTTTTTTTCATATTATGGCTTCAGGTTGATTAATTTTCATCATTTATTACTCAGTTAACTCACCCACAAAATCTCTCATTTGCTGTATCACTGGTTTTTTTAATGTGCTGTTTATTAATTTCACATCCTGAAATGTCAGTATTTCCCTCTTGATTTTCACCTCTGAGTCCTCTTAACAAGTTCCTCTCATCTCATTTAACATGCCTGCACCAGATTCTTGGCTGTACCATCATTTAATTTCATCAGGTGGAATTATAGTGCATGCTCCTCTGTGATTTTCTCACATAGCCACCCAAATCCTGACCTGGAGAACAATGTGTAGAGACCCTCTGGTAACTGGGACATTGTCATAGCCAATAATGCCCATCATTACCCCCCCCCCCCACACAAAGAGATCTTGTATCATGTCAAAATATAAGCATCTAAATTTAGCTGCCTTTATCCCAGAGGTCTTACTCATTTCAAGGAAGTTTTCTGGTGGAGACAATTATTGTCAGTTATTGTTTTTCAGGCTGGCCTCAGCTGGTTTGCAAAAATGAGTCAGTTAAATTAGATCAGGGACAGACAGGGAACCTGAAGTATGCAAATACACAAACTATTCTCACGGGCAGGAGGAGACGAGCATTCAAGCAAATCTTTTAAAATTGTAATTTAGATGATGAAGCTTCATTCTCACAATTCTTTGGCTGATGGACCCAAACAAGTTCAATTTCATGTCTGTTTTTGAGACTTGACATGATAGATAGGAGAAAGGATTATTAACAGTTAACCACCCAATAAACAAAATTACATCAAATTAGAATTCGGTTGAACAGTGTTTGAGAGATCAATATTTTGTAGATCATTGAAATTGATCAGTAATTTATTCAGAACAGAACTTGGATGAAGAGCAAATGCTGCTCAAATCATGTTAATGGAAATTAAACCCAAACCAGAGTCGTATAAGTGGGTCATCATTTGATCTGAAGAAAAATTAAGGTAATAAAAGAAAACCAATATTGAAGAAAGACCCGGGGCTCATATAAAAGTTCATCTTTCTTTTTCAAGAATGAAAAAAAAAGAGAGAGTAAATCATTTCTCCTCACTTTTCTTATTACTAATCCTTCTCATGCCCCAACTTCAAAAACAGTGGTAATTTTGGCAGTGGTCAGGATTAGCTGTTAATTAGCCTCATTTTACTTGCCGGGCTGAATGAGATGTCCGCTCATTCCGTTGTCCTGCTGAATTGTGGGAGGATTATCAGGCCGCTTCGTAATCCTCATATTGTCAAGCAAGGCCACTCTCCAGCCTCCTCCTGTCTCCTTCGTGGCTTTCTCTTCTCTTTGATTCTTCTTCTCCTCTTTCTTCCTGAACAACTCTCTGTATATCTCACTGCCTCTCCTCTGTTTACTGTTATTCTGTGGATCAATATGTTTATTTAAAGCTCTGGGAAAAAAAGATTCATGTTAACAGAGACAGAGTTTGATTTGAAAACCACATGAATCTACTTAAATATCTTATTTGACACAAAGTCATTATTTCAAAGTTTCAATGTGGAGGTTTGGACAACTAGAGGCACAATGGAGCATTTTTAATTAGCATGTACACACACAAGCCTGCAAGTGATGTGATGCACCATGCTGATGCTTTTCACTTGGTGGTAAATGTCACATCTCAAGAAAGGTAGTTATGCACCAGCAAGAGAAGAAGAAGATGAGTTTTAAAATGAAAAAGAAAAATGTCTGAATCTTCATGTTCATCGTATCAGGCAAATATTATTTCTGAAATATTCAAAAAAAGCCAAATAGGATTTTCGCTTTGATGCTTCCCTATCATGTGACACAGAGACAGGTCACATACTCATAACTGGAATGCATTGTAAGTGTTTGCATGAGAGAAAATGTGTGATTTTGGGACATAAAGCATTAGTCCTGGGACTCAAATCTGCAGTCATCCCTTCAAAGAACTAGAACACACGTTCACTAAAGTCTTTGACCACCAAACACAAACTGTGGCAAATTTCCGTCCGAAATTTAGAGTCAAAATCTCAGAATGTGACGCACAGTGTTGCCACAACGCACAACCAGTGAGTCAGAGAATACACAGGCTGCTATTGTTCGTGTCATTTCTGAATAAATTCCAGGGAAGAAGCTCACACAATGGAGGGATGTAAGAGAGGCACAGATGGATGACATAAGCTGATGTCCTGTCCTCTCAAGCCTTTCTCTATTGTTATATTTACATTGTTGTGCGAGGATTCACTGTGCATTCATCGCACAATCTCTAATCAACCTCAAATTAAGAAGTAGGCACAGATTGAAGATTTTTAACAACAGTTAGTCGTCAAGTTTGTCGGGGGTTTTCTGTCAAAAAGAAACAGAATTGAAGTTAATCCAGTTAATATTATGAAGTTGGAAGCCAGGTAAACAGGTGAAGGATCTCCCTGAGTCACACAGCATCTGAATCAATCAAACACTTGATAATGACTGTGACAAAATATAGATCTTTATAAGTCAAAATGAAGAAATGCATTTGAGTTGTTTGTGGCTTTTCATCCTTTTACTTAGCATCTACATAGACAACAATCCTCTGATTAGTCATCTTCTCTATCAAACTGTAGCACAATATACAACCAGTGTAAATTGACACTTGATCTCAATAAACAGGTTGTATTTACCCTGTCACATGTAAAGTCTGTCTGCTGTATAGATGGACCTCTGCCAAGCCGCCTCTGCTCACTCTGATTGATTACTGGAACTTTGCTCTTGGCGCAGACTCATATGTTTATAATTGCAATTACACTGAGGCCTCGAGTCACTGGGGTCTAATTTTCAGTCAACAGGAGACCAGAGAGGTTCAATAAAACAATGACATTGCTTTTATTAGTTTATTTTGCTGCTGTGCTGCTTGGATATGAGCCACAAACTCACAATATCACTCAAAGCGGCTCGTAGACGAAATATAAAATCAAGCTCTGCACTCAGAGCTGTTTTAAAACGAGACTAGTGGTTTTCATGACTTTGTCGTACAATGGGTTTCGCGGTGTGAGGAAGTGAGTGATGGTTGTAAAACACATTACAGCTGCTGCCTCCTCTCTCCTCAGGTGACCCGAAAAGCTGGCAGAACAAGTCTATTCCCGGGGACCCCAACTACCTGGTGGGCGCCAACTGTGTCTCCGTGCTCATCGACCACTTTTAAAGACGGAGACGGGGCCGGCAGGTGTGACGTTAGTGAAGATGGCTGTGGTGGATAAAATGAAGACGACACACATGAGCCATTTTTAGACATGGCCTCCAGAGGAACTCCAGAAAATTTGGTCCAGACTCTTTCCCAGAGTATTTCTTTTCACACATGCACAACACGGCAGGAGATTCTCCGCTCAGGCGCGTTCGCAACAGCAACACATTTTCCGCAGGATTCAGGCAAGGGGTGGGGCAGCAGGCAGACGCAGGAAGTAACATATTAATCCCGCTGCGGAGATCACAGGTTTTTGTCTACATAACATCCACACAGGCGTTGGCCCTTATCACTGCAAACTCTCATGACATCTCCGTCAGTGTCTTCTTCGTGTATGGCACCGCTTTTTTTTGTATTTTTAGTTCTTTGCGTCTGTTGCGTGTCAGAAGTGTCATCAACCTCCCACTCACTCACGGTGAATCCAGCAGAGGATCTCCTGCTGTGTTCTCACTTTGACTCCGGACTTTCCTGAGTTTCTTTGGACTTTATACAAGGAGGATCTCTGGAGTTCAGTGCATGAATGAAAGTTACACACACACACACACACACACACGCCACAATGGAGTGTAAAGAAGATTGGCGCGGTGCTGTTTACCTACGGACGAAGGAGAGACCGATGATCACTACAAGTTATTTCTGATAAACAATTTCCCCTAATATGAGGTTTTGATGTGAAATGAAGTCGTTGATGATGCATGCCCCAATCTGAGGTTTAACTTTTTATATAAGGCAATGTTAATTGTAATTTTTACATGAATATAGATGGACGGACGGCTTTTGAGGCAGCGTAAATGCCTCAAAAATATTTATGCTATATATGCATACAGTATATATAGTAGTATAGAGATATACTGAGTTTAAATCATGAATCCAGTCAACATCTTGTCGTTTTTCAGTTCAGGTGACTTGAAAACAAACCTGCATCTCCACCTTTATTATTTTTTTCTCCACAATGAAGGTTTGAGGCGGACGTGAGATAAAACCAGAGATGGTGACGTCTGGAAGTTTCTGTTGAAGGAGTTGAAAAAAGCTCGAGCTGGATATGAACCCAAGTAGCACACTTTTATAGAGATGTTCTTCCTTCACTCCTTTATTCTTCCTTTTAATACGGTTATATCTTGTAGCTCTTATTTCTTCTCACATCTCTCCTTCCAGCCTGAGGGAGATCTATGCATGTTCTTTACTCAGGTCCAGTAGCCTCCTCAGTTCCCTCCTCACATCTCTCTCTCTTTCTTCTCTCTCTCTTTTTCTGTCTGTGCACTCTTGCACACACACAAATAAGCAGTGATGCCTTATCTGCAGATTATTCACTTTTCATCAAGAAATACAAAACACATAAGTTATGATAAATTATGGTATAATGTCATTTGTTTTTGCCATTTCACATTTTTTGTGGACCCACTGTATAAATGACCTTGGGTTTAGCTCACAGTAGCAGTCGATAAAGGATAACAAAGGTATGCTCTTCTTTTATCTGCTATGCATTACTTAAAGAAAAGAAAAACCAGAAACCAGAAAAGAAGTGGCTGTAAATAAAGCTAGCATATTGCCTTGTTTCTTTTGTTTGTAAATGAACTTTTTGTATGTCTTTCTTTTTTGTATAAAACTTAGAGAAAACATGTTTTAAAAAGTGGAAGAGAGTGAACATGCTGATCTTTGTATTCTGGATATACCCTCGAGCCTTGGAACTTATAACCTAACAATAACACATCACACATTTTCTACCAATATATTCACCCTATGTTACAGTCACAACTTCTTTTTTTTTTTTTAAACGGCTATTTAAGGATCAGGAAAGTACTTTGGCTAAAACACATTTAAAACATGTTCTTTTGAAAGGGTGTGCTCTCAAAGTGTTCCCCTCACTGATTTGTGATACTGGATGCTGTATTGTGTGCCCTTAAATGTATTTTTGTACTAATAGACAATATATAATGTATGGCACACCAGTACCATTTTTATTTTTAGATATAACACGGCTTTAATTGGATATTAGCTCTTCACGTGTGGCTGACTTTTTTTTCCTCCTCTACAACACAATTTTAAGTATACCACTGTATTAATAAATAAAATCATTTTTAAAGTAAAGAATGCGTGTCCGAGTCAGAGTTTTTTCTCAAACCTTTAATCAAGGTTATGTTTAAACTTTTTTTGAAATTAGGAATTGATTGCGGCTCTCTTTCCATGTTACCTCAACTGAGCATACCTCTGGATCATATGGCCAAATATTATATCAGTATATAAAGTTATTGATATGGCTTCATTTACCAGTTTGAATCGATCACAACTTCAGTTTTGTTTTCTGTTATTATTATATACATATGATTGATTTATCTTTAATCTATAAATTGTTTATTGTGTTATCTAATTGTGTGAACCATTTTCCTTGTAGTTATTGACTATCAGTACAGAACCCAAAGATAAAATGTTTACAATCACACAACACATGAAAATCAATTATTGATTTCTAATTGTCATTATTGAGGAGTTTGAGGCTGTTATACTGCAGTTGCTTGTCTTATGTTTCACAGCTAGGTGGCGCAGGTGAGTTTGAGTTTGCTGCACAAGGTCAGATATCCACACACAAGTCCTTCAGCTTTGATTTTCAATTGTCAGGATAAAACAATCATCACACTTGAATATTTCTGTTCTATTCATTTTGCCATTTTATGTTTTGACTGTAATGTATCTGACCATGATCTGTGTATGGTTTAATGAGGAAAATGAAGTAAAACCTTTCTCTCTTCCATTAGTTGTTTATTTAAAAATGTGTGTTTTCATGAAAAGCATTGAGGAAAATACACAGTGGCTGCATGTTGGAGGGAAATTGAGCTTTTAAGAAACATTTAGCAAACGAAAGAAGCTCAGTAGAATGTAGACCAGTGGTTCTCAAGTTTATAATAATAATAATAATAATTAATATGATCTGGAATTATACAGCAGCTTTCGTACATGAAATATAGTACCAAATGCTTTACTATTTAAATCTCCAGCTTTGGATTCATCTGAATTTGCCTCAAGTTAAAAATGTTGGCAAACAGTGGAAAAGACAAACCACTAATATGAAAACACATTTTCTGAATCCTCAACAGAGCTTGAACCTCCCGGACCTCAACGGACCGTTAGCTCCATGCAGCTCTGCTCTGTGATGAAGGACAGATGATCCAGAGCCACTGGTCAATGACAATGCAGTTCTGCAGCTGCGGCTTTAATCTGCAGTCACGTTGTTTCACACCAGGTAAACACCTGAACTTCACATTTTCATTTCCTTCAACTTTCCACTGAATCCTCGTGACATGGTGCAAATGTCGAGGATGTAGAATAAAACATGTTCTCACAGTAAATCTCATTTCTTCAGGGGCTGCATGATCCGAGGCTGCAGATCTGATCCTGCCACGTTTTCCTCCAAATCACCAGCATCACCACCAGCAGCAGCATCACCACCAGCAGCAGCACCAGCAGCATCACCACCAGCAGCAGCAGCAGCGGGTGATCAACTCACTCGTTGGCTGATGAGTGAAGAGACCACCTCCCCCCTCTGCTGCTCCACTATCGTAGTAAAACACGCTCCGCAGCTCGCCGCCATCAGACGCGCACCGTGGCACATCTCCAATGCGCAGTGTGCGTCTCCGCTGCTGAGCTGGTGGATCCTCTCTGTCGCCTGTGAACCCGGAGCCTCTCACTGGAGGAAACTGCAGATATCCAGGCGCCGGATAAAAGACAAAAAACCCGCAGAACTGGTTTCAACTCTGTGGACGTGTGTGTGTGTCTTTTCTCTCAGAGAGTGCGGGATCATCGCCTGTGGTTCACGCGTGTTTTACCCACGCTCCATCCCTCCTGCGTGGAGTTGAGAGGCTGCAGAGGACGGAGCATGTAAAGCTGCTCCACAGCTGCAGGAGGACGATGCGTCTGCGCTTTGTGCCATTTTTGGCTTTTGAGGAATGGACTCTTCTCCGGAGCTGCCCCCGAGACCAACCTGTGCATTGTGTGTGTCTGTGTGTGAGGATATGAGGTAACACTTCGTGTGTGTGTGTGTGTGGGTTGTGGCAAACATCAGCTCTTCTCGCCTCTTCTCTCCTCCCTCCGCCGCAGCGCGTCTTTAATTGGAGCGACTCTGGAGCGTCTTAATTGATGGAGATCGGACACTGACGGAGAGTTTCCCAGTTTTCCAGTTTCCCCGCAGGCTGAACCACAACCATCCAGCTGCAGTGTGGATGTTACTCTGCTCCTCTGCTGCAGCTCTGTTCGGTCCTTTCCATCACTGACGATGCCGGTGAACGCGTTGCCCCGCGGCGGCGGCGGCATCAGCGGCCCGGGCTCCTTGAGCCCCGCGTCGCTGTCCCGCAGCCTGTCCCGGCTCAGGGAGCACCGGACCCGGACCAGGATCATGCTGGCGCTGGGGGTCTCTCAGATGGTGCTGGGGAGTCTGATCCTGGCCGTCAGCTTCGCGGCTCTGGCTCTCACCACATCACCCAGAGTCCGACACTCGTGTCCCTTCTGGGCAGGCTTCTCTGTGAGTACATGATACACACACTGTACACACACAGTGTACACACACACTGTACACACACACTGTACACTCACTGAACACACACTAAACACACAATGATGAAAACGCACCGAGCAACACACACTGAGGGACACACACCAGTGTGTGCCCCTCAGTGTGTGTTTACCAGTGTGTTTGTGTACGTTCCTACACAAACACACTGGTGAACACAAACTGAGGAACACACACACACGCTGGTGACTACACACATGATGAACTCACGCTGATGAACACACACTGAGGAACACAGACACACACACTGGTGAACACACACACACACTGGTGAACACACACATGATGAACACACACACGCTGGTGAACACACACATGATGAACACACYCACACACACACACACACACACACACACACACACAGTGGTGAACACACACATGATGAACACACGCACACACACTGGTGAACACACACTGGTGAACACACACTGGTGAACACACACATGATCAACACACAGTGGTGAACACACACATAATGAACACACACATGATCAACACACACTGGTGAACACACACAAGCTGACGTTACATCTCTAAAGAAAAACAATATAAGAGATGACATCAACCATTGAGACACTAAGAGCACATCTGACAATATAAAGGAAATATTGTATTATGTATAAGGAACATTTGTCTCTGTAGATATAGATGTTATACATACGCGTTATATATTTTCACTATTGACTCAATCTAAGGAACATTAACATGGTGAACTTTAAGAGGTTTCATTTTATTTGTCAGGTGTGAGTACAAGAGTAATACCAGGAGCACACACACACAAACACACACACACACACAGTCAGAGTCATATGATAAGTCTAGTGCTCCTTTCTGTGTGTGTATATATACATACATACATACAGTATATATTTTTATATATATGTTTGGCGCGCTCTCTGTGAGGTGTTGTGTTTTTCTACATGTCAAATGTTCATGGTGCTTTGTGTAAATATTTATGAACACACACATCCTTGATTTCCTGCCAGAGAGGAGGAGGAGCAGGACTGGTCCATTAATTATAGAGGCAGTGGGGCAGAGTGCAGGGGTGAGGGGAGGTCTGTGGCACAAGGGCCATCTGTGGTGTGTGTGTGTGTGTGTGTGTGTGTGTGTGTGTGTGTGTGTGTGTGTGTGTGGTGAGTGTATCATTACAATAAGTGACCCCACACGCACACAACTGTGCTTATTTTTTTGGTTTGATGTGATTCATTCTGTTTTCCAGCCCACACAGAAGCTATAAAACTCCAGAAACACAGCCACAGTGGCAAAACAAGAACACAGCGTCTCTGCAGACAAAAAGAAAATAAACCTGCCACAAAAACACAACTCTTTTTTTTTTATTATTCACGATCATCCACCCAGAAGAAACTCATCTGACATGACAGACATTTCACTGAAAAGCTTGGCCCCTAAATGATCAATGAGACGTTAAGTGTAGCTCATATTCAATTTTTATAATCAGGGAGACGTGTGAAACTGCATCTTCACAAACATTTCAAATTCTGCTCCATAACATCTAAGAAAGTAATCAGCCTGAATCCAAGAGTGAGTTCGTGGTGTGTTTTTTGCTATTGATTATTATCAAGAGGGATTTTATATGAGATACAAGACAAGAGTATAAAGTGAGGTTTATGTTGCTGGTGAGCCGAGGTTTCATTCTGTATCTCTGAGGATGATTCAGGTGCCTAAAACAAAAGAGCCTGCTCGGTGCCATCGGTGACGCCAAAAACCCAGATAATGTGATTGAGGGCAGCTCCATCTGGAGAAGCTGGTGATTTGAATAGGAAGTGATTTGCTCACAACTGATCACAGTGGAAGTCACTCGGAAAAGTTTAGAGATTTAAAATGCCCAACAAAACAAAACACTTTAAAATCTTCAGATGTGACAATCAGACTTTTGTGTAAAAGATGTGGCCTCCACAAAGATGTGTCTGTGACAGTTGGTGCCATGTTTTACAGTATGGTCTCTGATGTCGGATTATTATGGCAAAAAATGCAACGTCTCCAGTGATTGGAAAACAGCAGGAAGCTGAGTAGATTAGAAAACTGCGTCCCTCTCTATGAAGAATTCAGTTTGAGTGAATAAGACAAATCAACAGGGTACAGGAAAGTTTTTGGTTCCACGTGTTGTGGCTCCGCTCTGTGATTTAATCTAATAAAATGAGTGTAATTGTAGACAAAAGCTGCCTTCGTACAGCTGTAAGAGTCTGAGGAGCTAATCTGCTCCTAATTTCAGAGAAGGGAAGGCTTCCGTCTCTCGACTCACTGTGTGTGGGTGTAGAGTGAGCAGTTAATAGTCATGGTAGTGAGCCAAATGTGTAGAATCAGAGGAGGTCATTATCCTGAATGCAGTTTATCCACCATTGTATTTGAACCTCTCGTCTCTTGTAGACCACGGTCCCTGTCACGAGGAGTCAACCAATTAATCTTAGCTTCTCTGCAATGTGATCCTTTGAGCATCAACGTAAAGTTAGCCAGTGACCAAGGCAGATATCTCTCCTTAAAGGGATAGTCCACCCAAAAATACGAAACACTTCTGAAGGCTCTAACGCTGTTTACCCCTGAGACTCATAAAGTGTTTTGTGGACTCAAACACTTCACCCCACACTTCATGCAGCATCAACGTGAAACATGATTGTGTAGGAAGTCAAACTGCTAAGTATGTTTGTGGTGAAGGTCAGGTGTCGTCAGGCAGACTCTCCCTCGACGTCAATGAATGACTTCTTCAAAAGATAATGGTTGTGGTCTTAAGGGGGCAGATGTGGGGTCTGCGAGGCTGCAGCTGGACCCTTCTACCAGCTGTTTATTGTTTCTTCATTTTGGGGATATGACATCTTTTCCGTTATGTTAATTGAGGTGTAAATTCTCTGTGTGAGATTAGATTCCAAAGAGCACAACGTGATAAGAGTCACTGTGTCGCTCTTACTTTATTGTAAAATATGCTGCAAACCAAACAAAGAGATTTTCTTTTTTTCAACATGATGGCTTTGCTTGCTGTTGCCTTCATGTTGAGCTTCTGCCATATTGGTCACCAGAGCTACTGAGGAAGGTGACGACAAATCCTTAATCCCTCTGCATGTGTGTGTGTGTGAGTGAACTCTGTAGGTGGCTGTGTGTGGTCACTGCGGGACATCATTACGGATCTCTGTATGATGACTGGTATTGTGGGAATTCATCACGGTCGCAGCGAGAGAAGGAATAATCTTTACATCCTACACAGAGCAATCACTGCTGAGCCCGGCTGTCCCTCCTCCTTTTACACACACACACACACACACACACACACACACACACACACACACACACACACACACACACACACAAACACAAACACAGACAAAGACACATGCACAGACACATGCACACACAAATATATCCCATCTCTGCATTGTGCATATCAGTTGTTCCGTCATCCTGATTTTCCACACGCCAACATTTCTACAACTATGTGTTTGATAGCATAATATCTGTCACACACACACACATAATATCTCTCTCACACACACACACTCACACACACACACACACACACACACTCACACACGTGCACACCCTTGCCTGGCCAACAGAATAATCCTACAGATATCTTGTTCTTCCTTGCACCCAACCCAAGGCTTGTAATCATCCTCACACGCCGGCTGTAACCCTTCAGCTCGGCAGACAAGCAGGCAGCCGTGCTCTCTTCCTGTCAATGTAATTTGGGTGACAAAAGACGACGAGGGGCTGTAAGCGGTGCAGTCTGTGGGGCTGCAAAGTCGGTGAGGCTCAGCATTCAGTCGCCTCTGCTCTGCCCGTGTGGCCAGATTAACCAGCAGGTTTACCTTCTGGCTGTCAATCGCACCTCCCTGCCGGCCAATAAATGAGGCGCCGTGCTCGAGCGAGCCATAGGGCCTCCGCAGCTGTCGACAGCTGACGTGCAGAACAAATTACCGTCATGTCTCCATTAATTAAGCTCAGGACAGAACCAGGAATCCAAACAAACAAACTGCCTCATGTCCGGCCGCAGAAACTAGAGACACATCTTCCCCATGATAACATATTTCCCCTGCAGCTCAATAAAAGAAAGTACTTCTCAGTTTTTCCCGCCCCCACTCTCCTGGTTGCGTGATACAGCCTCTACCACTCAACAATCTACAGACTCTAACAAAGACAGCTTTACACGGTGTTCTTGGTGTCTGTTGTGAAGCAGCTCTTTCTACCACTCAGCATGTGTGTGTGTGTGTGTCTTTGAATAGAAGGCTGTGAAGTGTATTATAGGTAGTGGTTGTGTTGTGGAGTCATAGCGGGATGCTCGCTACTATTGGATGAATTAAAATGAAATTTTGTCCAGAAAAAAAAGACATTTCATTTATTGCCACCAGTGCTTTAATCTTTTCAATTATGTGACTGATCTCGTTGGATGAATTGATACCAAATGTTGCATCTTACACCTGGAAAATGGCAAAGTGGCTCCAAACACAACATCTATGCCAGTTTCAGACACAGTCGTCCTTTTCCATTGTTAAACTGGCAAATGCACTTGTACCTGTCTGAGCACCCATGAGCAAACTGCTCATAAAACGAAGCGTGGTCACGTGCATTGCTGTCCTGTTGCTATCTTCAGGCTCTAGACTAGAAAGTGATTGCGCAATTGACCAATAAATGTTGGCACATGCAGTGTTTTAATATTAGAATATATTCTGTTGGTTTGAAGCACACACAGATCAGTTTCTTCAACAGTGAATGATTTTTCAAGCAACTGACTCACATCATGTCCTAAACCCAACATGTGCAGCCTCATAGAACTGCAGGTGAGGGTCTAGACCTGTGTTTTTAGCATTTTTGTCTTGAAGCTAAATACATAAACAGTGTCAGACTTTTATTTTCAGTCGTGTTGACGTCTGGAGACGGGAAAATGAGCAAATGATGGGACACAGATGAACAGTTTGTCTCCTAGTGCTACTGAAGCTCTCATA